TCACTGGGCTATTGGTGAACTCCTCGGCTTTTCTTAGGATGCACTTGTTTTTATTTTAGGTACAGCAAGATTCCCAAGCTTACACCAGGTCTAAGTCCTACTGACTTGGAGCCTGTACTCAGCGCGACTGGTAACGGATGAGATGGCATAGCAAACAAACCAAAAAGAGAAAATGGGTCCAGATGGGGGTTACACAAGAACTGGACCCACGTATGGTTAATTTTTTTCACAAAGACAACATACAGAACTGACAGGACTACATGCTCAGACAGACAAATGATGTAAAAAAAAAGAACACATGCCTCTTTTTCCCACATGGAGAGGCAGGGAGAGACAAAGTACTGAGGGTTTGTAAATAGAACTACAAAATTATAAGCCAACATGCCAGCTGTCATTTCTCTTGCAAGAGCCAGCTAGGAGAGTTGCAATCTGTCCTGCTGCACACATGGGCAACCAATCCCAGCACAACTCAGGTGGGACCCACCGGGAGGGACTCAAACCCACCAGGGAGGGACTCAAACCCACCAGAAAAAGAAAAGAAAAGGAGAAAGGACGGAAGAAAGTCTCCATGGAAAAATCAAGAGAACAAATGACAAAGTAAGGGGAAAGGAAGTGTTGTCTGAGGGGGGTGCACAGGGAACCCCAGGATGCTGGAGAAAGACCCATCAGTCATGGTGACACTGAAGCAAAAGTTCAGATGGCCACTTGTCAGTCCCACGAGGGTCCTGTTTGATGGTCCTGCTGGCCCCAAGCCTCCCCCACCCTAAGGTGAGGGAAAATGCTCTCTTTGTCCCATTGTCCCAGCAGAGTCACCAAGAAATATGTTACTGACTATGGGTTCTTAGGCTCTCATAGAATAGACATTGACATGAGGCCAAATAGTTTCCCAGACAAGGATCTTATGCTTGAGCCCAAGAAGTGCAGCACAGGAGGAAGAGTTCTCTGCAGGCTCTACAAAGACATTTGGCTGGGCCCTTTTATTAGATCAGAGAAGGGAAGTGACATCAGAGGAAAGGTATGTTAGCAAGACCAGGGAGGGGTTTTAACCACTCAAGCATAGTATGGATACACGCTCTTTATACGTTGGGTGTACAAAAAGTGGTGGATAAGCCCCACCTGGGATGGGAATTTTTAGTATTGTAATGGGGCAAGGGGTTAGAGTGGGTCATTTTTCTGGACCTGTATGCACGCGGGTGGAGTGGTTAATTCTTTTTAAGTAAGATTTTGTTTTCTTCTGATAATGTGCAAGGTCTGGCAGTCAAGTATGTGTGAAGAAATATGTTAGTGGGATGGAAGCCAAAGCCCATTCTTTTTTTTCAAGTTTAGAGTTGTGGCGTTCATGTGAGGATCTGCTACATAAGTAAATTATGTGCAGGTAAGGACTGGGCTTCCAGTAAGCCCTCTCTCCTCCTGGTAGTGAACCTGGTACCCAATGGATGGTTGTGTGCCCCTCATCCTCCCTCCTTCCCTTTCTCCTGTAGTATGACCAGTGTTTAGAGTCCATTTATGGGTGAGAACATGTGGTATTCAGTGTTTTGTTTCTGTGACAGTTCACTTAGAATGATGGTCTCCAGCTACGTTCATGTTGCTGTGAAGGACATGATTTTGTTCTTTATGGCTACATCTTATTTAATCATATATATTGACCACATTTTCTTTATCCAGTCCACTTTTGATAGGCATCTGGGCTGTTCCTTGTTTTTGCTATTGTGAGTAGTGCTACAGTGAACATGTGTGTGCAGGTGTCTTTTTGGTGGAGTGATTTGTGTTCCTCTGGGTACATTCCCAGAAGAGGAATTGTTGGATCATACAGTGGCTCAATTTTTAGTTCTTTGAGAAAACGCCACATTGCCTTCCACAAAGACTGAACTAGTTTACACTCCCACCAACCCTGAAGAAGCGTTCTCTTTTCTCTGGTGCTGCGCCATCATCTGATGTTTTTTGACTGTTTAATGATAGCCATCTTAACTCGTGTGAGGCAGTACCTTGTAGTTTTGATTTGCATTTCTCTGATGATTAGTGAGGCTAAGTATTTTTTCATATATGTGTGGGTGGCTTGACTGTCTTCCTTTGAGAAGTGTCTGTTCATGTCCTGTGCTTACTTTGTAACGGGATTTTTTGGTTTTTCCTGTCAATTCATTTGAGTCCCATTCTTATTCTGTCTCACTTTTATGTCTTTTCATGGCTTAATAGCTCATTTCATTTTTGTCATTAATATTCTGATTTAACACAGTTTATTTACCCACTCACCACCTGAAGGATATCTTGGTCGTTTCCAAGTTTTGGCAATTATGAATAAAGCTGCTATAAACATCTGTGTGCTGGTTATTGTGTGGACACAAGTTTTTAACTCCTTTGGTAAGGAGTGCAATTGCTGATCTTGTGGTAAGAGTATGTCTAGTCTTTTAAGAAGCTGCCAAACTGTCTTCCGAGTTGCCTTCCCACCAGCAATGAATGAGAGTTCCTGCTGCTCCACATCCTTGTTAGCAGTTGCGTTTGTCAGTGTTCTGGATTTTGGCCATTCTAATATAGTGTGCAGTGGTATATCATTGTTGTCTTAATTTGCATTTTCCTAATGACAAATGATATTGAGCATCCTTTAATATACTTACCTGCCATCTGTACATCTTCTTTGATGAGTTGTTTGTTCATATCTTTTGCCCAGTTTTTAATGGGCTATTTGTTTTCCTATTGTTGAATTTTAAGACTTCTTTGTATATATTTTGTATGCCAGTCCTTTATCAGATATATTTTTTGCAAAATATATCTCCCACAAACAATGGTTTAACAGGGAGTGGTGGAATGGCATTAGTATCAAAGGCACTCATAGAGCTTTAACTATATAGAGAGAGAGGTTGCCAGGTTCTCATTCCAAACCTGCTGAACCCAAACCTTCCCAAGTGCACCTGACCATGTGAGTTTCACAAGCCTGGAGGTAGGGGAGCAGTGAAGGAACTGGGGAGATACAGGACCCCTGAGCTGGAAGATTCATGGGCTAGGGGAGGGAGGTGTCAAGAATGACTTCTAAGGCCGGATCCAGTAGCTCATGGCTATAAGCCCAGCGCATTTAGAGGCTGAGGTGGGAGGATCCTTTGAGGCCAGGTGTTCAAGACCAGCCTGGGAAATGAAGTAGATTCTGTCTTTACAAATAATAATAATAATAATAATTAACTTGGCATGGTGGCACTCTAGTCCTAGGTACTTGGGAGGCTGAGGCAGGAGGGTTGCTTGAGCCCAACAGTTTGACAACTGTGAACTTTGATAGTGTTACTGCACTCCATCCTGGGCAATGGCACAAGATCCTGTGCCCCACGCCCCTCAAAAGAAAGCATGACTCCCAGGTTCTTGGCCTGAAAAAACTGGCTGAAGGGAAAAGGAGAGGTTGTTTACTGAAATGGAGAACCGTGCAGAAGAGCAGCTCTGGAGGAGAGACTAGGAGTTCAGTTTCAAGTATGTTGAATCCGAGAGGCCCGAAGACGTCCAAATGCAAATGCCGAGTAGACAGAGGAACGAGACATGATCTGGATCCCAGAGAAACTTGGCAGGAGATGCCGATTCAGGGGGTGAGGTGTCTGAAGATGACATCGGAGGCCTGGGTAGATCAGCTGAGAGGTAGTGTACACTGAGGACAGAAAAGGACCCAAGAGAGAGCCAGAGGCACTGGGCATTTTAAGGTTGAGTCAGCAAAGGAAATGGAAAAAGAGCAGTCAGCAAAGTGAGAGACAGATTAGGAAAGCACAGAGTCAGAAGCCGGGACAAGAAAGAGGCTTGGCCGGGCTCGGTGGCTCAGCCTGTAATCCCAGCACTTTGGGAGGCCAAAGCAAGTGGATTGCCCGAGCCTGTGGGTTCAAGACCAACCCAGGCAACTTGGCGAGACCTCATCTCTACAATAAATAAAAAATTAGCCGGGTGTGGTAGTGCACACCTGTAGTTCCCGCTACTTGGAAGACTGAGATGGAAGGATCACTGGAACCCAGTGGGTCAAGGCTGCGGTGGCTGGAAGCGTGCCACTGCCCTCCAGTCTGAGCCTCAGAGTGGGATTCCAACTCAAAAAAAAAAAAAAAAGAAAAGAAAAGAAAGAGGCTTACGTGGGGAGAGGTGTGCTAAGTTTGGGAGGAGGCAACATCAAGGAAGTCCCTCTGAAGCCTCACTGAGATAGAGACCTGAGGGACAAAGAGGAATTAGCCAGGATGGGGCTCAGAGGGTGTGTAGGGCGTGGCTTGGAGTGGGCAGATCTTGGTTCATGGACAGAACTGGGAGTCGAGGCATTACAAACAGGAGGAATGGCAGGTGCCAACGTTCTCCATGGCTCGCTGCACCCCAAGGGCGGGCTTTTTGGAGTCTGTGATGCACAGGACAGCATGGACCTGACCAGGCGCCCCTGAAAGAGCTGAAAGGCTGGATGCCCTCATCTTTGGGTTTCATCCTGATAGATGGAAAGCCACATGGGCAGCGTGATGGTTTGTTAGGGTGACCATGACAAAGTACCACAGACTGGGGCTTAAACAGGAGACATTTGTTGTCTCTCAGTTCTGGAGCCTGGAAGCCCAAGATCCAGGTGTTGGCAGACTTGGTTTCCCCTGCAGCCTCTCTCCTTGGCTTGCAGATGGTCGACTTCTCTCTTGTCCTCACATGGTTTTCCCTCTGTGCATGTCTGTGTCCTAATCTCTCCTGATAGGACACCAGTCTTACTGGAAGAGGGTTCACCCCAGTGACCTCATTTTACCATAATTACTCTGTAAAGCTGTCTCCAAATACAGTCTCATTCTGAGGTACTGAGGGCTAAGACTTCAGCTTTTGAATTTAGGGAGAGCACGTTTTAGCCCATAAAAGGAGACAAGACCCAGTGAGCCCTCTTTACTGAGGGCACTAGACATACAGGGAGCACAACCCATAGCTCTGGCCCTCGGTGTGGACACGGGAGGGACTGGTGAATGGACTCCTGCTTCCCCCCGCATTAAGTGGACCACCCTGACTCTCCCACCCACTCTCACATGCAGGCTCACTGGTTGGCCAGAGGCTCTCAGACCATCCAGATGTGAGGAAAATCGGGTTCACAGGCTCCACAGAGGTGGGAAAACACATCATGAAAAGGTAGGTATCTGGAGGAGGGGTCACTGCTGGTCAGTGTCGGCATGGCACTGCTGTTCTGGGAGCTGGTCCTGCTTCTCAGGCTCCAGTGTGCAGCCAGCATCCAAGGCCGTGCTCAGTGCAGATGCTGCTGTGGTGTGTCTGCGTTTCTGACAGCCCTTGGGAGGCCACAGACCAGCAAGGGTTGGTGCCACACTGCATGGGGCTACCCCTGAGGTGGTTGATCTGAATTGAGATGTGTTGTGAGTGTAAAATGCACACTAATTTCGAAAACTTAGCACACACAAAAAGTAAAACACCTCGTTAACAAGTTTTTACGCTGATTTCAAGTTGAAATGATACTATTTTTGATTAGTTGGATTAATGAAGTAAAATATATTATTAAGATTGATTTAATCTGTTTCTCTTCAGTTTTCTTTTAATATGGCTGCCAACAAGAAATTCACATTTGATGTTGCCAGTGTTTTTTTTGTTTTGTTTTGTTTTTAGTTGGAGTCTTACTTGGTTGCCCAGACTGGAGTGCAGTGGCCGCTCCCGGCCACCGCAGCCTCGGCCTGCTGGGCTCTGGCGATCCTTCTGCCTCAGCCTTCCGAGTAGCCGGAATTACAGGCGCGTGCTACCACGACCGGCTGATTTTCTGATTTATTGTAGAGATGAGGTTTTGTCAAGTTGCCCAGGCAGGTCTCAAACCCGCGGGCTCAGGCAATCCACTCACCTCGGCCTCCCAAAGCGCTGGGATTATAAGCTGAGCCACCGAGCCCGGCTTTGCCAGTGTTTTAAGCTTTCATTGTATTTCTTTGGACAGCACCAATCTAGAAGAACCTCTCACCTCCCAATGCTCGAACTTTGGCTTCCACTGCCTGGGGTCATCTCCTGACTCTTTCGTTAATTCACAACATTTGGTCCTGGACAGACCACAGGGTGGCAGCTGGAGCACTGCTGTTGTCAAAGCCCTGCCCTTCCCCACGGAAGCTGAATTTCTGGTTTTGGCATGTGCTCTTTGAGTAACGGGCACAAACAGGAGGTGCTGGCCATTCTGCTGAGCATGCTGGCCTACAGGCTTTTGGGCATCTTTCTCCAGGGACACGTGGCCACTCTCTGTTTTTGCCTTGAGGGTCACTCCTATGACCTCCAGGACAGCCCGGCTTCCGTGTGACAATTCCACGGAAAGGGCTGCTCTTGCGTTAAAAGCAGGCTCTCCTTGATGCAGGACACCATTCTGTCTCTTTGGGACCTTTCTGTAGCCCCTGGCCCTGCTCTCCACAGGCCTTTCTGTGCCCCACTAGGGGATTCTGGCCCTGCAGACCCCTCCCATGTACCCTCTGTAAGCCGGTGAGCACACCCTGAACATCCTCCACTCCCAAATGGCACTGTGCTCGTGCCCAGCACCACGGCCTCACCTGGCATCCCCCTTTGGTTCAGGAGCCACCACCCATGTGGCTGACAAATTGTGACTTTAGAGTCAGTTGAGGCTGTCATCACATGTGAGCACACCAGGCAGGAGCTGCTCTGATTCATTCTGAGTTTTCCAGCAACCACACCGACTGGTACAGAGCACACTTCAGTTTTACCAGTGGGAAAGGGATTGGAGGACAGACATACAGCTGAATGGGGGAGGATGGTACCTGCAAGGAGCTGTAGCAGGTTTGTTTTTCTCCTGAGTCAAAGGCTAGACAGTCTTGTTCTCTGTAGTGTGCAGGCTATAGTCATATCTGAGCTCATGTGAGTCAAATCCAGAGACAGGGCTCAGGAAACATCAGCTCTGTGGACTCCTTGGAAGGAGGGCTTGGATGACCGGCTGGGTGGACCCTTCCTGTTCTGGCACTCTGTGGCTCTGTGCAGGAGACTTCTCCCCATACGGAGCCTTGAGTTTTGATGTGGCTCTGTTAACTGAGTGTCCATTTGAAGTCAGTGTCACTGGAGTGTGCTGCTTGCCCATCGAGAGGACATGTTCATAACTCCCAGCACCTCTCTGTTTGCACTGTCACTAAAAGCGGAGGTGCTGAAGCTCTGTGGCCATGGAAGCTGCTGCAGATGGTGGTGCCACTTCTAATGTATTCCTTCCTCGTTTGTTGAATGCCAGCTACACGCAGGCACTGTCTTGGCAGACACCAGGCAGACACATGCCTGCCCTGGTGAGCTTAAGTTCTGGCAGACAGAGAAGCAGGCAGGCTACATAGGCTGTTGTGGTTTTATATGGGGTGATCAGAGACACCCCCCCCCCCGGAGAAGGGAACGGAGGCCTGAAGGAAGTGAGGAATCGAGCACAGACATCTAAAGGAAGTGCAATCCCAAGAGGACAATGGGGGCAAAGAGCTGAGGTGGGTGTGCGCCCTGGTGTTGGAATTAAGAGAGGCCCAGGTGAAGCCAAGAGGGGCCCAGGCTGAGAGGAGCCAAAGTCACTGATGTGTGGGTGTGGGGAAGGCGCTGGGCCAAGTCTTGCTTTTTGGAGTAAAGCCTGCTTTGAGCCTGCCCCTGTGCTCCTGCTCCCCCGGGCACCAGTTCCTCCAACCCTCTGTTCCTTTCAGCTGTGCCCTGAGTAACGTGAAGAAGGTGTCCTTGGAGCTGGGCGGGAAGTCACCACTCATCGTCTTTGCTGACTGTGACCTCAACAAGGCTGTGCAGATGGTGAGGGCCAGGCCTGGGGCGGGGGCAGGAACAGAGGGATGTGTGGGGACTGACGGGGGGAGAGGAACAGTGCAGAGGTGGGATGGGGCAGCCATGAGAGCTGGGGACAGTCACAGGGGGACAGGGATAGCCTCGGGGGGACAGAGACAACCACAGGGGACAAGGACAGCCACAAAGGGACAGGGACAGCCACGGGGGACAGGCACAGTGAAAAGGAACAGGGATAGTGGAGGGCAGGAGGACCTGTTTCTGATTCCATAGTCCAACTCACACCTTTAGCCCAGCCTCAGTGGTTGTGAGTCCATGGTGTCACCACAAACATAGCGTGGAAGGAAACAGATTTGGGGCAAGAATGGCATGTGCCCTCCAAAACTGGTTCCCCAAGAAATGTCATAACTACCAGGATGATCATTGAAATCAGCTGCCTATAGTATTTATATGTGTATACGTGTGTGTGTGCGTGTGTGTGTGTGTGTGTGTTGTGTGTGTGTGTGTGTGTAACTGAGAAACACTTCTATGGCTCCATCTGTTCTTCAGCGTGACAACCTCTTCTCTCTGATAGAAGAGCAGGCCTGTTATGTTCATCTGTTTCACTGTGGTAACTAATTTGCTATCCATATGTGGCCCATAATATCATGCCATAAACCTCAAATATACACAATAAAATGTATTTTAAAAAGAAGAAGAACAACGCAGTACTCTGAGCTTATTCCTCTCTGTAGGTGGCCATGGGAGCCCTTGCTCAGCTTCACCTCTGACTCTCTGTGCAGCCCTGAGCAAGTGACTTAACCTTTCTGGGCCTCTGGGCTCCCACTTGTATGTGCAGTACGGGCAGCGGTAATGCCCACTTCCCAGGTTGCTGTGGGATGAATAAGTCCGGAGGTCTTAGGACAGTGGCTGCCTGCGGCGAGTGCCACGCAATCACTTTTCTCACCGTTAGTGTCATCATTGTCGTCATTATGCCTTGATCCTTTCTTAGTTCCTATAGGGTCAAACCAGTAAAGTCACGTCCAACCAGGTGCCTAAATGTGCCCCCAACTTCTATCTAAGTCTTAGAGATGACTTGACACCCAGCACGGGGGTGAAAAGGAGTCCAACCTCATTAGATGGGGAAGCCAGAGGAGCCAGGGATTATTCACAGGCCCCCGGTGAGCCCGTCACCCCCAGAATTTTGGCCCCAGTGCCAGTGGGACACTGCTGGACCCTGAGCCAAAGGACTGGTCCCTGTCGTTGGGCCACACAGCCCCAGCTTCTAGGAGAGCTGGGCTTGACCCTGGCTCTCCTTCCTCTCCTGGCTTTCCCACAGAGGGCTCCCCAGCTTCAAAAAGTGGACTCACTTGGGGCCGCTGAGGGCCCTTGTTCTCAACTCCTGCCAGGAGTTCCCTCAGGCCTTGGCTGCCTCTCTCTCCTACTGCCCTCCCATGTCTGGGCTTGCCGCCTGCCTCTGCCTGCCTTCTGCTTATCACCATTGCTTGCTCCTTGCCGACATTGCCTGGTGCCTCTCCAGCTGGCTTCCGAGTGTGTAGGCTCTGAACTAGAAAGGTCAGTACCTCCTGCATACCCACATGCCCAGCCAGTGTGCAGAGTCCACTCCCGCTTGTTTTCCATGAGACCTTGTCCTCCAGCGGTGGGAACCAGGGCTCTGTCTATCTCCCCCTCACTGCGTAACCTCGGGCCTCAGCCTCCTCACTTCCCACACTGTCACGTCTTAGACCTCCTCTCAGGGTGACTGAGGACTGAGTGGGGCATGAGTGTCTGTCACTGACTTGGCCTGGTCTGCAGAAAGAGGTCAGGACACACGCTTACTTTTCCTTCCCTATGAACAGGGGTGACTCGGCCCTGGCAGAGTTGGACACTGGAGGCTCTGGGAGGGGCTCTGACCTGGCATTCTTGTCCATTCTCTGCAGGGGATGAGCTCTGTTTTCTTCAACAAAGGGGAGAACTGCATTGCAGCAGGCCGGCTCTTTGTGGAGCACTCCATTCATGATGAGTTTGTGCAGAAAGTGGTATGTTCTATCTAAGGTCTTGGGGCTGCTAGTTCACCTGGACAGGGTTGGAGGAGGGGAGGCATGGCCGGGTCAGGGTGGCCAGGATCGCCCTCAGATGACACCGTCCACCTGGGTCAGAGGATCCTCACAGGGAGCTGTACTGCATCCTCACTGGCCTTTGTCATTTTGGCAAGAACCAGCAACCTTCGGCTCAAATGGAAGTAACCCAAAAGGGCCCATCTTGGGTAGGCTCTCTAGAAGTGAAGCCTGAGACAAGAATGTAGGTGCATGGTTTCCTAAGGTGAGCTCTCAGATGTGGCCTGGAAGGTGGAAGGGTCCAAGAGGGGATGGAACAGAGTGGAGCAAGGACATGGCCTCCGGTCACTTCAGCCCTGGCCTGTCCCCGGATGGGAACTCAGGGCACAGTCACACCACACAGGAGCACCCTGGCATCAAGAGGCTGTGGGCCTGTGGGCAGTCGGTCTGGCTGTGGGCTGCCTGCACCATGATGGAGAGCAGCTCACATCAGCTACCAAACCTGCCAGCAGCTGCCTCATGGCCACATGGATCTACTAGCATGGCCATGGGGATCTGACAGCCAGGGGGATCTGGCAGCCACCAGGATCTGGTGGCCACAGAGATCTGGCGACCCAACCAAACCCAGAAGAGCAGAGTGGACACTAACCTCGGACACAAATGAGTCTTCACAAAGCCCCAGGAACGTTTGTACTGTCTGTCTGTGCAGTTTCTCTGGGGGCCGGCTATGTTCTCTCAGGGCAGCCTTAGGACGTGGAAGAGGGTGGGACTGCGGCGCTAGCTCTGCATTCGTGCCACACAGAGCTGGAGAGGGCAATCACTCCTCTCCACCAACCCTGTGAGAAAAGGCCGTGGGGTTGTCACGAGCCGGGCCCCCATTCACTCTTGTTCCAGGCTGCAACAGCAGAGCGTGGGCGCAAACTGAGGTTGGCTCAGCTTCAGCCAAGCACCCGGCCCCCAGGGTCCATAGAGCAGGATCGAATCAGCTTAGAAGCAGGGATGCTGGAAAGACAATCAACAACTTCTAGGTGTAGTTCTAGACAAAGTGTACTTGGGAAGCCAGAGAAAAGGTGGGGCTGCTGATATGGGGTGGGCAGGCTATGAGGGAGGGTCTCTGGGGCAGGGGAGCTGGCACTGGGTCCTGCAGAGTGGCTCTGAGTGCAGGAGGTGATGGGGAAAGAGAAGGATTTCCCAGGAGGGACTGTGACAGCTTTTGCCATGTCACAAGTGGCCCTCAACACAGCAGACTGGGGAGCGGAGCTAGAAAGAATGGCTGTTCACTTGGCTCACAATTCTGCAGGTGATGGTCTGGGCTGGATGTGCCCAGGTTCAGCTGGCTTTGCTCAGGCATCTGCAGCGAGTTGCTGGGTCAGCAGGGTACTGGAGCTCGGTGGATGGCTGCCCTTGCTCCTAGGGTCCTTCATTCCATGACTTGTGTTCAGCGTGTCCACACAGGACAGTGACAAGACTCCTGAGGGTGACAGCAGAAGCTGAGAGCCCTCTTAGGACTCATGAAACATTGCTTCACTGCATCCTGCTGGCCAAAGCGAGTCACCTGCCAGCCCAGATCAAGGGGTGGGAAAACAGACTCCACCTCCTCATGGCAAGTGCTACCAAGAAATGTGTCCATTTGCATGATCCACCGTAGTTAGGGAGTTGACCAGCTGGGCGGAGTAAGCTTCATTTCTGTGGCAGGCCCAGGACAGGAATACCTGGACCAGGACACAGACTCAAGCATGACTGGAGGTGAAGTGGGATTCATGAGGGTGTGGCTGTGGGGGAAACAGAGTTGGGCACACCAGGTCCTTTCTGGGAGTCTGCAGGGAAGTCATTGGAGTGACCCCAAGGGCCAGAATCCTTGGGATAATCCTCCAAATAGTCACAATTCCAAATAAAGGAAGTGAGACAGGATCCAAGAGTCTCAGTAGGTTGTTCTTTGCATCTGGGAGACACTGGGGAGCAGTTTGGGTTGTCGAGCAGGAACAGAGAAAGGGGACCAGAGGGGATCGGGGCTTGGTAGTGGGGCGGAGACAGGACAGTCAGAGGTGCTAAGTGGTCCTTGGTTGGAAGGGCAGAGGATGGGCCTGGGGTGCTTGAGTCCCACCTGCATCTGATTAGGGCTGGCGGGGGGTACAGAGTTTGCAAGGGGGTGAGTGGTGCTGGCCTTGGAAGAGGAGAGGGAGGAGGCCAGTCTGTCCTGACCACAGTGCAACTTGAATGAGGGTGGAGATGGCTTGTTTAATCTTAGGAAGTCAAGGAAGGAGCCTGGGAGACAGGTGACAAAAACAGGAGGAACTGACTCCAGTCTGGAGCCTAGAGGGCCTGGCGTCGGCCTGCTACTGATTGTGTTCATCTGACTTCTTTTCCAAGTCAGCCCACATCTCCGTTCATTTGCCGACCCTCTACATCCCAGGCTCGAATCATTAGATGTCCTCTTCTCTCACATCCCCGAAGAAACCCTGGCCAGCATCTCCAGACAGCAAAGCCTAGACTACCTTTTATGTCAACTGAGGCAGCAGGAGAGTCTTCCTGGAGGGTGGAGTTTAAAAAATGGGTTTTGAAGCAGGCAGAAGTGGGGACAGGGGTGGGTGGACTTGAGCCTTAGGTCCTTCTGCTCCACCGAGTGTCCATCCTACTCTGTCACCCAGGGCTATTGTAGCAGGCCCAAGGTGCCCCATCCATCCTACCTCCTGGAGTCCCTTCAGCTTCTTGGTTTGTGGGCAGGGCCAGCTTCAGATACACCCTGTGCTCTGCCTGGTCTCTTCCACTGGTCACACGCTGCCTTTAAACTGCTCACCCACATTCCCACACACGTTTTCCAGCCCATCTGTCACTAACTTGGGTCTTCCTTGGAGACTTTTGTACCATAGGAGGCATTTGGGTTTCAGCCTAAAAGGTAGCTTGGGAACAAGAATTTGGAAAGTCCTGAGAGCTAGAATAGAATGTGGACTTTTTTTTTTTTTTTTTGAGTCGGAGTCTCACTCTGGAGTGCAGTGGGACACTCATGGCCACCGCAGCCTTGACCTGCTGGGCTCAGGCAATCTGTCTGCCTCAGCCTTCCAAGTAGTCAGAACTCCAGATGTGAGCCTGGCTAATCTTTTTGATTTATTGTAGAGACGAGATCTCGCCATGTTGCTCAGTCTGGTCTCTAACCCCTGAACTCAGGCAATCCTCTCACCTCTGCCTCCTAAAGTGCTGGGATTACAGGCATGAGCCACTGTGTCCAGCTTTACTTATGTTTTTAAAAAGAAAGGTTTGTATTACCATTTAAAAGGGGAAATGAGTCTCTTTCTCTCTCTTTTTTTTTCTTTTTGAGTGAAAGTCTCACTCTGTTGCCCAGGTTGGAGTGCAATGGCATACTCACGGCCACCACAGCCTCAACCCGCTTGACTCAGGCTTTCCTTCTGCCTCAGCCTTCCAAGTAGCTGGAACCACAGGTGCATGCCACCATGCCCAGCTAATTTTTAAAATTTATTGCAGAGATGATGTCTCGCCAAGTTGTCCAGGCTGGTCTCCAGCCCCTGGACTCAGGCAATTCTCTCACCTCTGCTTCTCAAATTGCTGGGATTACAGGCATGGGTCACCATGCTCGGCTGAGTGTGGACTTTCTTTGGGGGCCAGTGGTAGGTACCAAAATGCAAATGTGAGAGGTGGGTCAGGTGATGACCATCGTCAGAAGCTGTGGTGGCATCCAAGCAAAACTGACTTGGAGAACTTTCTGCAGGTAGAAGAGGTGAGGAAGATGAAGATTGGCAACCCTTTAGACAGGGACACCAACCACGGGCCGCAGAACCACGAAGCCCACCTGAAGAAGCTGATGGAGTATTGCCAACAAGGCGTGAAGGAAGGGGCCACACTGGTCTGTGGTGGGAAGCAAGTCCCCCGGCCAGGTCAGTCAGAGCACTCCCGGCCCACGTGGGTAAACTGGGCAGCGGGCACCATGGCCTCTGGTTTGCCGCCTAGCTTTAACTGGAGAAAGCTAAAGACCAGGTACCTGCCCCATAGGGCTTCAGGCCCCATCTGAGACCTTGGAGCGGGTGAGCCTTGGCTATTTGGACACCAGCCAGACCCAGGTATGGGACAAGCAAGGTGAGGACACAGAACTGAAAGTATTATTCTGTATTGCACTAGACTTTGATTTGCCTTAAAATCACCAGAGCCTTGAAATTCTCTCCTCCCATGGATTTTCTGACACTGATTCTCCTTCTGCTTCATTGGCTATTACTTCTCAGCCACTCCTCTTTGATGGAAACTCTCCCTCTACTGTCCCCTCAATGGAGGTATGTTTCCAGGTGTGTCCTTAGCTTCCAAGTGTGTCCTTCTCATGGAAGATATTTTACCTGGAGGATTTCACCCCCTGCAATGGCTCAGATCCTCCCAGATATATGTCTTGGCTCCACCTCACCCAAAACTCCTGACCACACATACAGCTGCCACTCCCAGCTCCCCCTAGATGTCCTCCAGGCCCATCAAGTGGTCACTGCAGTGTCCCAGCCAGACCCGAGCCCCCACCCCACACACACTTGCTGCTCTGGAATTCTCTGTCTGATCAGGCCACCCAAGCCAGACGAGCAGGAGCCACAAGGGTTTGGGTGACTGTGCTGCTTCCCCGTGGCCCTCTGCTGCCCAGGGACAGGTGCCATGCCTGTCTTCACCATCAGCTCTGTCATGCCTAGTGCCAGATCTCTCACAGAGGAGTACTCAGTTAACGCGATGGACTGAAGTCAGGAAGGAAAGAATGAAGCTCAGATTGTTCTCATGTGTTGACTCCTACTTTTAATTATTTCCTGATTTTATCAAATCCGAGAACCGCCCTTGCCCCTTGCCTTTCACTGCCGGTGTCATGCCGGCTCTCCACCTCTTGTCTCGCCTGGCCCTTCCCAGCAGCCCCCTGAGTGGCCTCCCGAGCCCTGCCAGTCCTTTCCGCAGGCAGCTGCCAGAGCTGGTGACCTCCAGTGTCATAACCACTGCATTGCCACTGTCTACTCATCCCCTTCCCACTCCTGCCAGACCAGCAGTTCCATGAGGCCAGGGACCTGGCAGGGGCAGGATGGCAGGGCTCAGGGTTGATGGAGAGAGTGTGACGAAGGAGCAGCCCCCGGGAACCAGGAACAGTGTGGAACCATCATCCTCATCCCCTGCCAGAGGAGGAAGAGGAGGAGCAGAATTCTTGGAACTCAGGGAGGGGCAGAGTGTGGGATGGGGCTGCCTCCTGGTGGCTAGGGGACAAGGGAGCCTGGGCCAGCAGTCTACCTCTCAGGGCCCAGAGTGGGGTGGAGGAGGGTGTAGAATGAAGAGGGAAAAGGACAGAGAAGTAGCCAGCACTGCCTCACACAACCCTGCGCTTGTAGCCCCACGCAGCTGCAGGGCGCAACTGTTGAGTGAACACAGGCCACACCACATAAGCCAGAATGTATTTGTCCATTACTCAAACTTTCGAAATTGTAGTTAACGTTAAAATGTAAATTTTGGCCAGGCACGATGGTTCAAGTCTGTAGTCTCAGCACTTTGGGAGGCCAAGGCCAGAGGATTGCCTGAGCCTGCAGGTTCAAGATCAGCCTAGGCAATGTGGTGAGACCTCGTCTCTACAGTAAATCAAAAAATTAGCTGGGTGTGGTAGTGCATGTCTGTAGCTCCGGCAACTTGGAAGGTTGAGGCAGAAGGATCACCTGAGTCCAGCAGGTTGAGGATGTGGTGGCCGGGAGAGTGCCACCATTCTCCAGCCTAGGCGACAGGGTGAGATTCCAACTCAAAAAAAAAAAAAAAAAAAAAGAAGTAAATTTCGAATACAAATTACAAACAAAATATTGAATATGTTATTAGGTAAATCACTTGTAAAGTTTTTTGGTTTTTTTTTTAACTTTTTGATTCTCCAAAAACTAGAGGGAGAAAACTTCAAGTCTCTTGATTTTTCTCTAAGTCAGGTAGGATTGAATATCAGCCCAGCGGGTTCTCAGGGCCCCTGAGCTCTGTCTAGGGATAGAACAGAGAAGGGATTTCTGCCATTAGAAGTGGCTGTGTTCCGGTGACCCAAGCCCTGCCAGAGTAGGGAGGCTGGACCATCAGGAACTTTGCCTCTTGCATGCCATGGGCTTCTGTCTCCCCTGCAGGTTTCTTCTTTGAGCCAACAGTTTTCATGGACGTGGAGGACCACATGTTCATCGCCAAGGAAGAGTCCTTCGGGCCCATCATGATTATCTCTCGGTTTGCTGATGGGTAGGAAATCCTACTGGTGTCTCTTGGGGGCCTGGTTCTTTTCTCTGTGTGACTGGGGTCTTCTCTTGAGCCTTGGGAGGTGGAGAACTTAGACGGAGTGGGGACTGTGGACATGGCCTGGGCTGCTTGCTATGTCCCCCTCAGCCACTGCAAGCAAGCAGCCCAGGCCATGTCCACAGTCTATACCCCTGAGAGAAGAACCCCACCAACCAGGCGACCAGGAGGGCTCGAGTCTCCCCTTGAGCAGAAGGCAGTTCTCTGCCACCTCCTCTTCCCTGGCCACATTATATTTCCTGAAGCATGCTGGGTTCTGTTCCAATGGTCTGCTGCTGTGCACTAAACCACCCCAACCTTGAGTGGCTCGGAATGACCAGTGGTTTATTTACTCATGAATCACAGTTTGGTCAGGTTTTGTTGGGGTGAACCCGTCTCTGCTCTGGACCATGCCTGGGCCTCAGCTGGAATGATGAGGCGACTGTCTTCACCTCAGCTGGGGCCTCCCCAGAGGCTGTCTCCTCATGGCAGCCTCAGCGCTACCGAGGCCCCTGGTTCCCCCATGGAGGGCAGGCAGAAGCTGTAAGGCTCCCTGCAATCTGTGCTCAGGACCTCAGCCAAGGTTTAAAGGGAAAAAGACTCCGCAGCTAACTGGGAGGGAAGCGAGGGCCCCTGGCTATTCTTTTTCAGGTCTGCCCTATCTGTGTAGTACCTTAGAGCAAATTACACAGTGGTACTGCCTCATCCTCACATTCACTCCAGCTTGTCAAAAACACCATCAGAAGTGTCATCCTTGGCTCATCTTACTGGGATGAGACTTCACTGTCATCTACCAGATGTAACACATATTCAAACCTCTGATGTCTGGTGTATGCCTGACCTGCTGAGGCCGTGTGTAGGCCCTTCCATGTGGGGGGACCCAGCAGCCCCTCTTTGGGGTCCCCTGCCTGTGATGCAAGAAGCTCACTCTGACAAGCCTGAGGGGCCCTGTGTCTGCTCGCACATCTGCCTCTTCTCTTCCTCTTTGCTTTCCTCCTCACCCCCTCCATTCTTCCCTTCTGTCTGCTCCTATTCTCTTCAACCCAGCATGTTTTCTACTCTCAAGGCTTGTCTGACCAGGAGCATGGAGTAGCCGGGCTTCTCTTTGAAAGAGGAGATGCTGGTCTTTCTGCGCCCATGCTCAGGACTGGCCCCTGTATGCCTTCTTCAAGGCAGTCTTCCTGGATTTTCCCTCCAGAGACGTGGATGCCGTGCTGTCTCGGGCTAATGCCACAGAATTTGGCCTGGCTTCTGGTGTCTTCACCAGGGACATCAACAAGGCCCTGTACGTCAGCGACAAGCTCCAGGCAGGCACTGTGTTCATCAATACATACAACAAGACCGATGTAGCTGCTCCCTTTGGAGGATTCAAGCAGTCCGGATTTGGCAAAGATCTGGGTAACCACTCCTGACCGTGGGTTTACTTTCCTATATTCGCTCAACAAATATCTGTTTGAGGCCACTCAATGCCAGACCCTGCCCCAGGTACTGGGGTATAGAGTTAAACAAGATGGTTGTCAGGGGGTCACTTCTTACTGGGAGGGAATGAGTAATAAGTCAGTGCAGGTGGAGTGCTTGGGAGAAGGCAAGAGGGGTGATCTGGGAGGGAGTGGACATTCTTCCTGGGCAGGGAGGGCCTCTCTGATGTAGGGTACCTGAGCTGCAGTGGCCTGAGTGGTGAGGAGGAGCAGGCCATGAAGATCCGAGGGCATGTGCACTTAGAAGAAGGATCACCAGGGCCTTAAGGGAACCACCTTTGGCCTTGGAGCTGCAGAGGGTCCAGGGCTGTTGGAGTGGGCGGAGAGGCGGGAAGTGGGAGGAGAGGAGGCCTGAGAGGCAGGTTGGGGCCAGACTGAGGGGCTGAGGTTCTGTCAGGGGCTTGGCTTCATCCTCGGAGCAAAGGGGAGCTGCAGAGCCACATGTGCCCCAGGAACCCATGGCAGCAGGCAGGGTTGCCAGGCACACACCAGGCAAGAGTCTGCCTCGCCTGGTGCTCTGCCTGCTGGGTAGAGTGGAGTTCTGCCCTGGCCCTGCTCTTTCCCTGGGTGGCTCCGGAACTCAGGCCTCAGCCTGCTCTCTCCAGCCTGCCACTGTGGCAGGTGACAGGCAGGGACTAGACAGATCTGACAGACAAGCTCGGTAAGAACAGCCGACAGGGTCTGGGGCAAGCAGCGTGCTGTCTTAGGGCCTCGCTCTCTCTCCCCAGGCTCCTGTGCCAGCCCAGGGAGTGCGGGGAGGGCCATACTGAGGCTGGAATCAAAGGGTGGTCATCATTTTGATTTTCCTCCCCTCACCAGCTCCCATTTTTCAAGCCCTGCAGAAAACCCCAAGGGTGCTTTTGAAAGGAGTCCATGTGTGTCCACAGGGCTAGGCTTACATGCACACAAATGCAAGCTGGATATTCCTGCTCCCCCTGTCCTTGTTGGCTTTCTCCTGCCTCCTCCCAGACCACCTTTCTGGTGTCCATAATGAGAATCCATGGGGTTCACTGCTACCCAAAGAAGGCTGTGGCTGCCAAGTCCCTGGGATAGGATCCAGGTCACTTCTGACTCTTCCTGTAGCTGCTTCCTCCCTCTGGTCCCTGTGCCTTGCAAAGAGGACCAGCCCCTTCCCTGGGACAGGCCCAAAACCAGGTGTTCCAAACAGCCCACCAGGACAGACCCAGAGACCTCAGGGAGATGTAGTAGCAGCATGTGGGGCATTGCTGCTCCTGGAGCCAGCCATAGCTGGTGGTGAGCTCTCAAACAGCCACAAGCCATGCACTCGCCATGGGACTGAATGCACGGGCCACATAGAACAGTCAAGGTCTGGGGCCTTGGAGGTCCTGAGAGGCATCCCTTCTTCTTGACCTGGAGGTGCCTGGGGGCAGCTCTGGGGAGAGGAGATGGGGCAGCATGTCTGGGCTAGCACCAAGCTAGTCTCTCCACCTCCCACAACTTAACAGGGCTGCCCCCCAGGTCTCTAAGAGGTGGTAGAAACTGGAGAAGGCTCTAGAATGGTTGCCCAAGGTTGGTTCTTTATTCTGATGGCTGTTTTAGAGTCCTGCCCCACCACGACTGCCAGGAACAATTTAGATAAGGCACATGACTTCCCTGGGTCTCAACTTCTTATCTGTAAAAGGGGTGAGCCTGGGCCACGCCCATGCAGTTGTTCCAGGGATCCGATGGGGTGATACACATGCAGAACAATGTGGACCATGGCGGGAGCCACTGTGACCACAGTGTGTCCCAATGGCATGTGCGGTCTTGCAGGAGAGGCAGCTCTAAACGAGTACCTACGAGTCAAGACGGTGACTTTCGAGTACTGAAGAAAGACCTCCATGAGAAGAAAGACCCATCTCGGCCGTGCCGCCTTTTCTGCACACCTCTGACCTGCCTCCCTCAGACAGACCCAGGGCTGGTCCCTGGTGGTCAGGTCACCCTTCCCTCCCCAGTCCAGAGTGCAAAGTGCCTCCCGCCAACAGAATCCCTCTTGCCTGCACTCCCATCTACATCCAGGACTCCTTCTGTCCGACTGGAAGCAGCCCTTGACTGAGTGAGGCATGGCCCCCAAGGAGAATAAAGGTCCTGAGCAGAGGCTGCCTGCACTTCTGTGTGTTTCTGCTCAGTCTGTGGGTATTCCTGGAAGCCATGTAGTCGCCCTGAGTCCTGGCCACGGTGATGTGATTTGGCCTTGAAGATCCAGATTCTGGGGGGAGAGACACAGAAGGAAATGGGTGCTGGGTCAGCTCGGGCCTCCAAAAAGCAGGGGCTGAGGGCTGCAAGAGGCTTGGAGGGGTAACCCCTGGGAAGCACGGGAGGCACTTTGCACTCTGGACTGGGATCAGGCAAGGAGGCCCGGTCTGTGAGGCAGCTCTGAGGTCTTCCACAGGCATGACCAGCTTCCCTCCCCGCCCCTCTCCTGACTGCTCCCCCAGCTCCAGTGAGTGTGGCCTCGTCTGGTTGCAACCCTCGGGGCCTGCCATGGGAGGCCAGACTTCCCTACCCTGTAATGCCTCCCTCTTTCCTGTGCCTCCTCACATCGCCAGGACCTGGGGACCTGCTCTCTGCACCCCCAGCTGTAGGCCCCAAACGCCGCAACCCGACCCTCCTGCTGTTGCCTCATTTCCCCTCCCTGCCTCTCAATGTTCCAATCTCCTGACCCATCTGGCTCTGCCTGTCTGGATCCCACAGCCCCCTGAAGGCACCTGTCTCCTTCCCCAGGGGCCCTGGCCATGGTGCTAGGAGTGTCCTGGCCAAGCCTTTGCTTATCTGTCGGTCACAGACCCTGGAAGGGTCTGTGAAGTCCCTGTCCCTCCAGGGTCTCTTGCCTGGGTCTCCTTTTGACTTCTCTTCTTCCGGCAGGTGCATAGATTTGTAGAAGTTCTGCCCAAACCTCACCTCCTGAGGGATGATACTAGCACTAAAAAACTCCAGACCCCATCCAAGTACTAACCAATGTCTTAGTTTAAACTAGGTGAACACGGGGAGGGGATTGACAGTAGTCAAAATCTGCCTGGGGAAGGGGGCTCACACCTCATCAACAAGGGTACCTGCACGATGAATATTTGTATACCTAACCCTGAATTGTACCCCACAGTTTTAAAATGAAATGAAATTTTAAAAAAAACCCTCCAGATCCTCTAGATACGCTGATCTTGTTTACTGCTCATTGCCCCAGGGAGATAGGAGTCATTTTAGCCCCATTTATGGAGAAGAAAATCGAGACAGAGAAGTTGATGCACAGTGACTAAGAACCAGGTGAAGAAAAAGAAAAAAGAAAAAGATGTTTAAGTGCCCAGGATTGCACCGCGACTATGAAATTGTTCCCCTTACTCCCCAAATTATAAGAACTTCTAAGCCCCCACTGCCTGCAGAGGAACTCACCCCTCCGAGAGACCCTCTCCCACGCATTGCCGAGTCTGCAGAATGGCTTGCTGCACGCCCACACTCTCCGACAGGCCTCAGCCGAGGGTAACCAGTCAGAGGTGACTGCCCATGAGCACCTGCGCCCACCTGAGAGTGTCTCTTCTGCCACAGGGGTGAAGCAGGCCTTGTTCTCAATGCCCATGACCTGCTCTGATCAGGCTGCGCCTTCTCACAAGACCTTAAAGGTCCAGGAAAAACCAACCACTCCCACTCCGTGTGGCTACTTGGAGTCTCGAAGCTCAGACCCATGACCAGGGCCCCTCGGAGAGAGCCCTCCCTTTGCCTGCCTCCACCCTCCTTCCCTGGCATGTTCAGTCTCACTTCTGTTCCTCACGAAAGAGTAGAAATGTGCCTTTCACTAAAGCCTTTTGGGTTCTGTGCCACCTCCGTATTTGTCTTCTACCATGATGCTTGGTGGTGAAGCGGACCGTCTCCCTGAGAGGAAGCCTTTCTCCTGTCCCTAGCAGTGTGGACTTGCCCCAGCACAGGGCATGTATACCAAAGCAGCCGAGGCCCAGGCCCACATCTGCACTTTCTGCATCTTTCCTTTGTTTTGCCTCAAACATCCCCAGGGCTGGGGCATAAACAACAGAGTTCAGATGAATGCACTGATCCTTGGCCTGAGACCAGTCCTCTCACACTCTAGATAAGATGGGAGGTAGAAGTCTGCCCTGTGTCTTCAAGGGGTCAGCCCTGGCTTCTCTGTAAACATTCCTTCATGGCAGAAGAGCATCCTGATACATCTGCATAATTGTTTCTTCTTCTATTCCTTTTTTCTCTTCAAACATTCACCTTATTTTATGTAAAATGTAGATTTACTAGGCATTAATTAATGTCTCACAAGACAGTAACACTTGCTACACTACCTTCTCCCCACTCCATTTTTAAGAAAAATTCGTAAATATAAAACCTGACCCCTCAAAAAAGCCATTAATGCATCAATGACTCATGGTTTTTCCTGAGTGCCCCCCAAAAGCTTCAATTGATTTGAGACACTTGCTTTATTCACTCATTTCCATTAACAGGAGCAACCAAGCAGCGAGAAGTCAGGGAAGAGTTAAATCAGCGAATCTCAACCCTATCTATCACTGCACCTTCACTCTGTAACAAACATGTTATACTGCCCTCTTTATGTCCTTTAATGAAATTCATAGGTCATCTTGCCAACTAATACAGATAATTAAAGTGAAATTAATATATTGCCCTGACTTTAATATCAATGAGAAATACAGGAAAGGAACTGGTAAGTAAAATAGCAGCGTTTCAATATGTAGGCGGCAAAAATGTTCAAGCTGGTTTGAGGATCTGGAACAGTAACTTGCTCCGAATTTCAGATTTCTTTCCTAGGAAGCTCAGAACCCAGATTCAATTGCAAACCCCTGGAGGGCGCATCAGGGTCTGTCCTGGGCAGCAGGTGTGCCTTTGGCCCTGCCCCATGGTCACAATAGGCTCCAAGCACAGACTAAAAAATTGTGGTAAAATATCCCTAACGTTCAAATGTTAATTGTTGTTAAGTGTACTCCTCAGGGGCAGTAAGTACGTTCACATTTGCATTGTTTTGCAGCCACCATCCCCAGGAATTTCTCACTGTGAAAAGCTGAAACTATTCCAAGCACAGACTTTTAATGGCCATGACAAACGAGATGACTCAGAGAGCTGAGATTTTACTTAAAGCTCAGAAGGGAAAAGATGCCTATTTTACAACTTAATCCCTGTCCTTTTACTGTATAGCATTGTGAACCTATTTTAAGCCTGTCTCCCATCGCCCACAACTGAGGACTAAACTTGAACTTTTTCTCTTATCCAAATTCCCAAGAGGCTTGGGGAGTCACTGCCTGATAAGGATTCACTAGGCAGTGTTTTTTTACCCTATTATCCTATATCCTAATGTCTGCTTCCCAACATAACAACGTAACATGACATAACATAACAACATAACAAAACATAACATAGTAAAGAAGGTTTATGGCTCTGAAAAACCATTTTTTGTGGATTCCCAGACTCCAAGAAGTCTTGTGAGACCCTTACCTATCCTCCCTGAAGTCTGCCATATATCGAGCTTCACCTATATTATCAACAAACCTGGAGTTTTCCATCCTCTTATCTTAACAAAATATCTCCTCTATAGATTTCCCAAATCCTTAAATAGGAACTGCAAATTACCAGTCAAGAAATCTTTGAATCCACCCATGACCCGCAAGCCCCTGCTTGGAAATGTCCCTCCTTTCTGGACCAAACCAATGAAAATCTCACATATACTGATTTATGGTTTCTTGTAAACTTTGCTGCCCTAAAATTGTATAAAACCAAGTTGCCATCCAGCCAAAGTAGGCTCTAAGAGTGAGTGTACCCAGGCTTAAGTCTTCAAGTTTGGCTCAAGAATAAACCATCTTAAATATTCTACAGAGTTTTGGCACCTCTTCGTCAACATAAGTAAATGGACCCACTCTTGGCCAAGGGAAACCTGAAAAACCTAAACTCTAAGTCATAACAAAAAAGAAGGACAGCATTAACAGTAAAATAGAGGTCATAAGATTGTCAAAACAGACTCTGTGGCAATAAGATACCAAATCCCAACCTGACACTGGTATAGCATCACATGACAGGTAGCAGGCCCCAAAGAAAATAAAAATACTTTACTCCCCAAAATGTTTCTTTTCTTTTTTTAATTAAATTTTATTTTATGATAGAAATACAAGGCACAAGTACTGTCATAGAGCTCTTAGAGGATTAACTACATAAGTAGGCCAAATGCAAGTGAAGCTTGGGCTTCTAACTGGCACTCACTCCCCTGGTGTAGCATCAGGTACCCTTTGTGTTGTTATGTGCTTCCTACCCTCTTTACTCCCTCCCACTCTTAGCGATGCCAAGTAACTACCGATCCGTCCTTTGTGCTAATGTGGTTAATGTTCAGGGACCACTTATGAGTGAGAACATGTGGTATTCAGTTCTTCATTTCTGTGATAAATCACTTAGTAGGATGGTCTCCAATTCCACCCAATTTGCTTAGAAGTCCAGGATTTTGTCCTTCTATGTAACACTCCATCGTGTATATGTATACCACATTTCCTCCATGTCTTTGCTATTGTGAATAGTGCGGCAATAAACATGGGTGTGTAGGTGTTTTTTGGTAGAGTGATGGAGTTTTCCATCCTCTTATCTTAACAAAGCATCTCCTCTATAGATTTTCCTTTCTGGGTATATTTCCAGGAAAGGGATTGCTGGATAGTATGGAAGGTCAATTATTAGTTCTTTTAGGAATCACCACACTGCTTTCCTTGGAGTTTTGATTTGCATTTCTCTGATAATTAGTGAGGTTGAGCATTTTTTAATGTATCTATTGGCTGCTTGTATGTCGTCTTTTGAGAAGTGCCTGTTCATGTCCTTTGCTCACTTTTTAATGAGGTTGTTTGTTTTCTTCCTTTCACTTCATTTGAGTTCCTTGTAGATCCTGGGTGTTAGGCCTTTGTCAGATACATAATTTGCAAATATTTTTTCCCATACTATGGGTTGTCTCTTTACTCTCTTGATGATTTCTTTTGCTGTGCAAAAGTTTGTCAATTTGATGAGGTCTCACTTGTCTATCTTAGCTTTTATGGCCTTCACTTTTGGGGACTTGTTCAAGAATTTGTTGCCTACTCCTATGTGCAGAAGGGTGTTTCCTATATTTTGT